AAAGCCCACTACATTTTAGAAGAGACTGTTTGCATGGCATTAAGCAGCCTAGACTTTGAGGCTTCAAAATTGATTTGATTTCATGTAGGTTGCAATTTTTTCTGTAGATCATTTGAAATCCAAGCTACATTCCCCAAGGATTCTTTGCTCACAGTCTTGATCTATGATCACGACTTCATTGGTACAGATGATCTTATTGGAGAGACTAAAATTGATTTGGAAAATCGTTTCTACAGCAGACATCGAGCTACCTGTGGGTTACAGAGTCAATATGAAATGTAAGTACTTCTTCAGGCAGCACAGAGTTCACAGTGAGTGACTTGACTTGAAGGAAAAATTACAGATGTGTTCCAGGTGTTTGCGCTTTCTCCAGCACGAAAGTTTCATAGAGGGTATTTTAATTAAAATTTACCAAAGAGCTTAGTGGTGGCTTTGGGTTGCTGCCAGCCTCAGTGGGAAGTGGATATTTTTAAATTAGCAGCACTGTTGGTTCAAGAAGTATTTTAGATAGTAAACAGGTGATGTTTACAACATACCTGCTGGATAAGCTGCCTTTGGGCAGGCATAAAGGGCAAATGGGAAAAATCTCTCAGAGAAATTATGCCAGGGCTCTACTTTGCTCTCTGCTATTCAGCTGCAGCTGGAGTGATTGCAGCAAGGCTGGTGGGACCGGAGTGGCACGGGTGGGAGCAGGAACAGAAACTGCTGACATGACCTCTGTGACAGGGTGAGCTGTGGGGCAGTGAGCTGAGCTCCTGGTCCCTGCCAGACAGCTGCACTCTCAAGGACCTTGTGCATACAAATTAATTCATACAGAGAAAGTCAACTAAAATAACTCAGCTGCCCTGGGGTGGGGCACTAACCTGGGAGATGCGTGTTTGGGGTTCTTCTATGATTGTTTCTCATTTTTTTCTAAAAAGCAAGAGTGGACAATGTCAAAAAGCAATCCAGGAACACAGACCAAACCCCAAAGCTCCCCTTGCCAGCTCAATCTCCAGTGTGAGATTTTTCTTCATGTGCTAATTACGTGTCCCAGATAACCTGAGCTCGTCCTTTGCATCTGGGAGCTGCAGAATAATTCTCCTTGAATGGAGGCACCACATGTAATCTCAAATCTTTTAGGTACAACAGGGAACAAGGTCTGTTCCTTTTCCCCATGGGAAGCATGCCATGCTATTACTTTATCTAAGCTGTAGGCAAGGCTGCCTCAGCTTCTCCTGTGTTTTAAGAGAAAGGAGTGGTTGATCTCCAAGATCCTGAGCAGAAAGAGGCAGTGTTTCAAATAAGAAGCAGTGCTGGAGAAGGGTAAAGTTTGACTGAGCTGGTCAGGCCACTGACCACAAAGAAAATCTCTGCATTGAAATTCCTGATCTGTCAGTGCAGTGTTCTGAAGGAAAACCTCACCCATTTCGCTTCACTCTGTCCCCTCCTTGCAGAGAAGGGTACAATGCATGGCGAGATGCAACCAAGCCAAGCGAGATCCTCACTAAGCTGTGCAAGGACTACAGAATAAGTGGACCCTTCATGAGGCCAGGAGAGATACAAGTAGGAACAAAAATCTTCAAGGGACAGACAGTCTTCACAGAAGATGAGAACGGTAACAAAGGAGTTCAGCATCCTCCCTTTGCATTGTAGCAGTACCAGGAGCCTGCCAAAATGTGGCTGGAGCCCTGTTGGGCTGTGAACTCTCAAGTTGGATTACTCTTAAATGCTCATGTAACTCTGGCAATGAAGGCTGTGTCTGTATTAGCTTTTGCTGTAGCTTAATTGCAAAGAATCTGTAGAGTGAAACAGTTGCTGCTGATGATTTGACATCCTCATGGTGGCTATTGGGGAATACCTTGGACTAGCTCCTCCCTGATCCGAAGGATGGGATGTCCAAGATTGGTTGGAGTGTGGGGGACCCTCTTGGAACGTGTCTTCTGGCTTAGTGTTGGTCTGTGCATGCTCTGAAATCCTTCCCCACAGAATATCAAAGCATGGGAACTCAGGAAGAGTCTTTCAAAGAATGTATTCTCTGTCTAAAACACTGGACCAGACAGACCCAGGAAGTGAGAAATAGAGGGAAGGGAAATACTGTTTTGAAGGGAGTTACTCAAGGTCAGACAAATTTCTGACCATAGTTATATTCCAGGCCACTTACCAGCCAGTCCTAGCTTACCTACTTGTCTTTCTTCTCTGTTGTTTTTTTCCTGATTCCCCTTCTGACATAGCACTCTATAAATCTGACATAGCACTCTATAAATCCAGATATCTGTGGGGTCCATGAATCCAGGTGGCAGGATGTAACTTACTGTCAGAGCTCCCAGGTTAAAAAGAGGTCAAAGCAATTGGGACCTCCAGTGTCCATATCACACTGGGGTGGAGTGGGACAGAGTCATCAGTGAAAGGTGCCCCTGCCTGTGGCAGGGGAGATGAACAAGATTGTCTTTGAGCATTCCTTCGAACCCAAACCATTCTATGACACAATTTTGTATTATATAATAATAAGGAAAACAGATGTGAGGATGGAGCCTTTCAAGGGGGTGAAAGGAGCTGGTCTTGGAGACAGAAGTGGACACTGTGGCAGTGTAAGAAACCTCCAGTCCCTTATCAGTGTTGGTTTGTCTTTGACACAATTCTTCTTAGCAGCTACAAAATACAGCTCACACCTTGGGTGGAAGGCTGCCAAGGAAGCACTGTTGAAAGGAGAAGAGTTGATCCATTTTTGGTTTCTTCGCCTAAAAGAGATTTTTTTACTCCAGAATTGCTGTTTGTTTTCCTCACTAGCAGATGACTGAGTGTGACTACCAGCAACAGGATGTCTCAATCAAAATTCTGGTTCACTAAAATAAGATTCAGACAAACCAATGTCAGATAAGATGATGGAAATTAGAAGCAAGGAAATACAGAACCAGATGGCAAAGACCAAAATACTTATGTACACAAGTTTTTCAATATTGTACAGAAATAGCTTATCTCATGCAGTCTTTACATAATTTCTATTCAGATTGCTGTTCTGACAAGTACATCTGGGTCCTTATTTCCTGATGGATTTCTGTGGTGGCCATCATTTGGATCTGTAAACTAACAAAGGCCATAGATTTGAGCTCTAGAGACATTCTGAAAAGGGAAAGAAGTCCCATTTCCACTGTACAGATGGAGAAAATTATAATTATCCATCCAGCTTTAACTTGCAGGGGAAGGAAAAATTTAACTTTGCTCTAGGAACAAAGAAGTTGGATAGGATAGGATAGGATAGGATAGGATAGGATAGGATAGGATAGGATAGGATAGGATAGGATAGGATAGGATAGGATAGGATAGGATAGGATAGGATAGGATAGGATAGGATAGGATAGGATAGGATAGGATAGGATAGGATAGGATAGGATAGGATAGGATAGGATAGGATAGGATAGGATAGGATAGGATAGGATAAGATAAGAATAGTGTGTTTGGAACAGACCTGCAGCAATCATCTAGTCCAACTGCCTGCCCATTACTCCCAGGTAGTCTAGTATTACCTGTAGCCAATGGGAAGAAATATGAATCCTCAGAGGTTAAAAAAAAAAAAAAATCTTTAGAAAGGTTTCTTTGAGAGGATGCAGGATATTGTAGGATAATCTGTGTCATTGTTACGGAGGCTGCCTGACTGAATAGCAGCTAGACACCTTGCTTTTAGCTGGCTAAAATTAGATGTTGGTGCACAAGAGGGAACCAAGATTCATAACCACAAGATCATCCTTCCTCACTCTCTGAGCCATTAGGAAGGGTTTAATATCTACTGTTTAAATTCCAAAAGAGTCTTTTGCCAACGATCAGTAATTCAGACACAGCAACATGCGTAGGAAGAGTGATAGCAATTTGTTGACACAAATAAATCTTAACCTTCTTCTCACTTAGGGACTTCTAATCTAGAAGATATCACTTGTCAAAATTCTGGGCTCCTTTTGTGTGGAGCCCACACAAAAAGGGAGGAAAGAGAAGCTCAAGAGCTCAAAGGGCTTTCTCTGCTTTCTAGCATCCACACTACATTCAATATTAGCACTGGTCCCTCCTTGAGGAGCCATTCTCTGGAATTCTCTGGGTATCCCTTCCAGTGACCAAGGTGAGAGGGTCAGGAGGTGAAATGTTCTTGCCCATGGACTTCAACTCTCTTCCTCTGAGTTGTGATTAAATTCTCTAAGTCAGTCTTTGCTGTTGCCATCAAAAAGTAAAAGGAGGCATAGTTAACTCCTAGTGCCTATTTACTGTCAACTTTGTCAAATCCAAATCTCTTTGTCTTTCACAAGCTTTAAAACTTTGTAATTTTCTGCCAAAAGAATAACTGACATGTTTCTTTCATCTTCCTGTTAAAAACTGATGCTTTAGCAGTGGAATGATTTGCTGTATTTTACAGGAAAACTGCTGCCTGAGTGCTAATCTTCTAATTAACCCAGTGGGTCTCCTTATTTATGCAAATTAGAAGCATTTCAAGGCCTTTCTTTATTTAGCTGGAATACATAAAACCGTCCTCTTAGCTCAAGCAAAATTTTAATGAGTAACTCTAATAACAAATGACACATATTACCAAGGGGTTTCAACATTATAATTCAGCTCTCATTGTTCTTTTTGTTTCACTCTTTCCTATAGAAGAGCAAGTTGAATCATACGAACATCTCTCCTTAAAGGTTTTACGTGCTTGGGAAGAAATCCCTGGAGCTGGCTACAAACTGGTCCCAGAGCACATTGAGACTCGGCCTCTCTATCATAAGGACAAGCCAGGCATGGAACAGGTAGAACAGCTCAGAAGTGGCGGTGATGGAGCAGTTTTCATTCCCTCCAGTTATTGTGGTTTCTATCTGTAACTGCAAACCTACAGAGTCAGCACTCCAGTGCTGCACCAAACGTGAGACTTTGTACAGTATTGACCTGGAAATTGTCACCCATGGGTGTACACAGCCACTTACCCAAATACACAGTAATCACACAAGGTGTAACTGCAAATTTTTATTCTTTTAAATGCTTTACTTTATTAAGTTAACAAAACCTCTGCTTGTATCAAATCTTGGTTCTCCTTTTTCTGTTCATCACATACTATTTTTACATGTATTTTGAATGTGTTTTTTGCATGTGTTTTACCTTGAAGCTGTTTGAGCTCTACTTCAACTTCACCAAATACCTGAAAGATTGAAAGAACATGTGCATGAAAAAGATATTGTATAGAAAGTTCCTAGATTAAACCATAGTTACAGGATATTGAGCTGGTTGGTGCTTGTAGATGAAGTGGTGATTTTGGATGTCAGAACTACATTGAAAGCCTTTTAAAGCCTCTGTAAAATAGGGTTACAGGGATATTTGTCTCTTTGTTTTCAAGGGTCGTGTACAGATGTGGGTTGACATGTTTCCTAATGATATGCCTCTGCCAGGACCCCCAGTGGACATTTCACCAAGAAAACCCAAAGGGTAATAACTCTGTGCTTTCGTCCCACCACAGTGGCAATAACTCTCCAAAGACTGTGTCTTTCTTAAATGTCTGGAAATAAATAGAAAATGAACTACTAAAACAAACCTCTGCAGTCCTGAGGAAAGTTTTCTTAGGTTCACGTGACTTCAAATCAAAGAGGAGGATCTAGTTTGGTTTCCTCCATTAAACAATTCTAAGAACTGTTGGTGATTTTTCAGCAAGAGCTATCACACACCTCTTACAAACATATTCTTTTTTATCTTTTATCCCTTTATCCTTTATAATAAAGAGATTGCAGGTGGCTAGAGGCAAGTAATTCTGATGTTATTATCTACTTGTTGAGCTGTAAGAATCAATTCTGGTTTCACTAGCTTTTTCGCTGAGATAACTTCCTCGACCCTGGTTGAGCTTTTTAATCTGCTACAATAGCATTACATGTACTGGATTTCCAGCAATTTGTTCAAGGATAAGATCAAGAAACACATAAAGCAGCAATGGATAGAAGAGATCTGTTTGGAATAGCCTCCTTCCATTTTCTTATGTTTCTTTACATGTAATACTGCACATAGTTGTTCAAGCTAATTGAATATTGTAAAGAAAATACAAAAATGAGAAACAGAATTCTCAGCCCATCCTGTGTTTTAGCAAGGCCTTTCCTGAGAATTTCATGAGTGAAACATCATCAGGTACTATTCCTATATTTTTTGATTAGACAAACAAACAATCCATGTAGCAATCACTTCTTTCAGACCAATACTTTCTATAAAACTCCTTAACAACATTTTCCAATCCAAAAAGATTTAAAACTAATCAAGCCCATAAAACCAAAGTGTTGCTGCCATTTTTGCAGTCTACTGTAGCAGGCAAAAATAATGTTGAACATTCATTACAAGGAAAAAAAAACCCAGTACATGTAGACACAAGTTACACATCTTGATGACAAATGCATCTTTGCTGCAGCAAAACAGGCTCCAGCCTCTATAAAACTTCAAACATTTTGTGAAAGCATCTCTGATTGATGATCTTTGATTGAACAAGACTCAGGTGAGGCATTGCAGATTCAAGTTTCTTTGGCTATTGCAGAGGCTTGATTTTCAAAGAGCTCCTTAAGAGATCCATGATGTAGAGTGTCTGGTAACTTCTGAAGCAAATTGTGCCACACCCTGAGATTGAGGCTATTCCAAGACAGGGAAACGGTATGTTGGTGTTATCAAACATAGTTAGTTTCTTTTTTTTATGTATTTTGCAGTTCATACAATGACTTAAGGAATACCTAAATTTTTCAATATTAAATTTTTATGTCATCTGCAATATTGGTATCTCAGCTCAGGTTTTGAGAGCTTTGGTTGACCACCAGAAATGTTTGCATACAGGGTGTGGAAAGGAAGAAGAAACTTTAATTCCTTTTATGGTTGTTTCTAAAGATGAATGTACCTGCTTAAATGCAAATATCTCCAAGCAGTCATTTTCCCTTTTAATGCCCTAGATTGTACAAAATGCAATGTTTTTAGGCATTTCTTCTAAAAAGTATCTCTCAGGGAGCTCTATTCTTTGTTAGCAAGCTAATCACTGTTTTGGAGACAGCTCTGATGAAGTTTTTCTGATAAACTTTGCCTTGTTCTACTGCAGGATTTTTGTGAAAAAAGTTGAAAATGAACAGGCATATAAAAACCAAAGAATTTTCCATCCCTCCGAAGCTGGGAGTGACCCTGCTGTTGTCTATTATAGTCCATGAACTGAGGGGAACCAACATCCCCACTCTATCACCAGACTCTTGTAAACAGAAGTGGCCTGAGACTGATGCATAAACACAGTATATCTCACTTTATAAAAAACATTATTTGATAGAGGTTGGTTGACATTAGTGCCTGACCAGGGCTTTACACACAATCCTTTTTTCTTTTTCAGATATGAACTGAGGGTAATAATCTGGAATACAGAGGATGTCATTCTAGAAGATGAAAATATCTTTACAGGGCAAAAATCAAGCGATATCTATGTAAAAGGGTAAGTTCTTCACATTTCAAAATAACATGCAATATTTCATTCAAAAATCAGAGGAAAAAATTATGTTGTGAGAATATTTGATGAGCTATTCAGTGACCTTTGCACTTTGCACTAAATACCTTCCAAAATTACTCACCCATATTGGATACTTCTCCTTTTTGGTCTTGTTTTACTTCCTCTGAAAATCAAGTAACAAAAATTACATTAATTGATAATTCCTACTCAGGCAGAGATAGCTAACAACAAGCACCAAGCTCACAGTTTAGCACAGGGGATCAAACACTTACAGAACTTGAACTGTAAGAGCTTACGTGGATGCAGAGAGGTTTGACATAATCAGAGAAAAGAGTACCAGAGAGGGCTGGGAGGGAATTATGGGCATAAGTGGTAGTACAAAGTACTGAAAATCTCAGGTGCCAGACTGGTCTTAGATTTCTTGCCTTTTTTCCACTCCTAGAGAGTAAGTTTAATAGGCCAATATGAATTGAGTGTTCAGAGCAGCAGCAGAGTAGCTTTGAGAACACAAATTTGAGGAATTAAATAGGGAGCCAGCCTTTGTGCTGAGTTGTGTGATGAGAACATCACCATCAATGCCAGAGTGCTCTGACAGAGAAGGCAGGAGTGGGAAACTTTTGCTTCTGTGCCTTAGTGATAAAGACACAAATCTCATCATGTTCAAACAGTACCTGTGGCACTGTATCTGTCACCAGGCATGGATTTGCACTTGAGGCAGTGTCATGTTTCAGGTCATTACCATTTTTCACAATTCTTTTTTGAAATATTGGGGTTGCAGGGGAAAAGCTGCTCTTTGGATACAGCACAAAAATGCTAATCCTTATTTAAGATGTGATAAATCATCTTCAGAACTAAAACATGGGTCATTACCTCTCTTCAGATGAGAAAATTATGTTTAAGAAAGCATCCTTTGTACCACAGCATATCTGATATTATGAACACTGTAGCAGAAACCAAGAGGAAATCATAAAAAAACCAAGAGAGACTTCTCCAGCCATATAAATGCCATGTTTATAACTGCTCTAATACTGAGCACTGATCACAGTCTTGAGAGAGTGATACAGAATTTATTAGTGTGGCAAAACATCGGTACAGGGTGATTAGCGCTGGATAAAAGACTGATGCTGTCACCACTGCCTGTCCCAAAGAAGGGAGGTGTCCTGGCCAATAGCAAACTGGTACTGGCCAAGTGGTACTTTGGGGTCTGATTGAAATAAAAACCATGTTCTCATTTGCAGCTTTTGATCACCACTGGTCATTACAGTGTCTGGTGTCCCACGATCCCTCAAGCCAGGGCTGTTGTTGCCTGTCACCGTGTCAAACACTGTCTCTTACTGGTTAGGCAGGAATAAGAAAATGGTCAGGCCTGAAACCAAATTACATTTTAACAATTACATTTCAAGATTCCCTGGTGACAGCAATGATTTCCACTGTGTGCTTGCTGTAGGTGGATAAAGGGCCTGGAAGAGGACAAACAGGAGACAGATGTACATTACAATTCCTTGACAGGAGAGGGCAACTTCAACTGGCGCTTTGTGTTCCCATTCCACTACCTCCCAGCAGAGAAACAAATGGTGGTTACTAAAAGAGAAAACATATTTTCCTTAGAAAAGACAGAACGCAAAATACCTGCTGAGCTGGTGCTTCAGGTGTGGGATTTTGAAAGACTCTCTTCAGATGATTTCTTGGGTAAGTATGCAATGGATCTGCCTGAACTCCATCCGAGGTCTCACCAGAGCCATGTTTTGCAGAGGTATGCACAAAGTCTGATCCCCAACTTTTACTTTTCTCTTTCTGAAGCATCACATTGCAAACTTACACATTTCTTGTAAAGCCAATAATTAGTTCAGATGAGAACTCCAGGGCAGTACAAATGAATGACTGGTAGTACAGAGAGTTCCTCAGCTGCTAAATTCCTCCATGGATCTCATCTGGAAGCTGCTATTTGAATGTCTTTGTGTCTGTCTGGTCCTTGAGTGTTGTCAAATTATTTTTCTTCAGGCACTCTTGAGTTGGACCTGAATGGGTTCCCTCGAGCAGCGAAGACAGCCAAGAGCTGTGACTTAGGCACAGTTGTAGCAGCAAGTGAAGAAAACAAGATCTCCATATTTCAGCAGAAGCGCATCAGAGGCTGGTGGCCTTTCATCAAGGCTGGGGAGCTCACGGTAAGCAGCTCACTACAGATTAACAGCTTTTCTCAGGGACTAATACGCTAATTTTGGATTTTAAACAACCACCACTGGCAACCCATAAGATTCTTCCAAATGCTTTAGTGGTTCTCCAGATATTTGCTTCAGAAGAACCCAGATAACTGAGTACTAAAGTGCCTTTTCAGCTGTATTCAGTTCCCTAGGGGGGACATAGACCAAGAGCTATCAGCTAATCATTTTCAGTAGTATAGCCCTTTATATATTCACCTGCTTTAATCCTTTTTTAGGGCTTCTTCCCCTGTCTCTAGACTTTCATTGATTCCCCAAGGGTGTTCCTAAAGCTCACCATTCCTTCACATTTCTGTCTATTCCAGCAAAAAGAATGTTTTAATGAAAAGTGCCTTCAAGTTTATTGTCTTATTCAGCTTGAAGCTGACTGTGTACTTTCCATGGATTTAGTGAATGAACTCCACTTCCAAATCCCAGATTTACTTTCCTATTCTCAACTCTAGTACAATTGATTCCCTTTCTCACAGTCCACTTTAATCACTCCTTGCTTCCACATTTATAACTTTATTGGCATCCTTCTTTCAGCCCTGTTCTGTGCTGAATCACAGCCAGTGGGCATAGATCAACACTTCAGATTCATACCATCCACAAAGGTATAGGGTAGGAAAATCACAAATATATGTAAAGTAATTTGTCTGGTTTTCATCCATCACAGATTCTATAAAGCTGATTTGATTTATCCACTCTGAATTGTAACTGGATTGTTTAAATCCCATCTTCCTTTTGTGAGCTGAGGCCCCACAGCTCAATGCTCCAGCACTTGTGACTGGCTGAATTTCCCTCTGCTGATGGATTACATCTGGTCCATGTCAGCAGCACAGCTTCCAGCTCAGACATTCAGCTCTGCCAGGATGTGTGGTAGATAGAAAACGTGCCTTTTCAGATGAATTACATGATAATTTAAGAACCAGAAAAGGTATTTGTGGGTCTGGAAGAAAATATCTGACCTCTCTTTCCTTGAGCATAAATCAGCGATTTGTGCCTTTGTGGTTTCTCTTCAACTGCAAAGACTCTCTTATTTTCCTTAATCAATTTCCTTTGCCCTCAATTGGTTCCATCATTTCTCCACAAGACAAATCCTGCTGTGAATTAGTGATAGTAACCCAGGACTGGATGCTTACATATTCTCTCTCTGATTCAGGGCAAGGTGGAAGCTGAGTTTCATTTGGTCACAGCAGAAGAAGCTGAGAAGAATCCAGTAGGAAAAGCTCGAAAGGAGCCTGAGCCCTTGGAAAAACCCAAGTGAGTAGGAGCATAGTCATTAAACATGCTGGGGCAGGGGCATTCCGCAGAAGATGGGGAAGGGCAACCACCTGTCCTCCTTGCAGGACACCTCCTCTCTGGTCTCCTGGATTTTCTTCTCTTTCCTGCTGCAACCTTCAGCAGGAATTGTGCAGCTTGTGCATGGCCTGGTGGCTGGCACTGCTGCTGGCAGCACCTTCAGGTTTGCTGAAATGTCCTCCTCTGGAAGCCCAAATAAATTGCATTGCTGAGCATTTGCCCTCAGCTGCAATTCACACATGAGATCATTCCATAGCTGATCTGGCACGTGATAACATCTTAAATCACCATAGTTTACACATACAGTCAACATCTCAGTTTGGTTACCTATAAAGATAAGTTGGGTTATATTTATTATAGTAGTAGTAGAACCATTTAGGTTGGAAATGATCTTTAAAATTATTAAGTCCAACCATTAATCCATCTCTTCCAAGTCCATTGTTAATTCATGTTTCTAAGCATGACATCTACAGGTCTTTTAAACACCACCAGGAATGGTGACTCTACCACTTCCCTGGGAAGCATGTTCCAATGCTTGACAGCCCTTTTGGTCAGGAAACTTTTCACCAATACACAATCTAAACCCTCCTTGAAGCAACTTGAGGTTATTTCCTCTCATCCTGTCATTTGTTACTTGGGAGAAGACACCAATTCCCACCTGGCTACAGCCTCCTTTCAGGTGGTTGTAAACAGAAATAAGGTCTCCTCTGAAGCCTTTTCTCCAGGATGAGCAATTCTTGTTCCCTCAGCTGCTTCTCACAAGACTCATGCTCCAGACCTTTCACCAAAGTCATTGCCCTCCGTTAGACACACAGAGGATGTGACTTCTATCTCTAATTTTATTGTACATCATACTCAAAGACTGAAGATGCTTATTTTTCATCAGAAGACTGTTTAATGAGGACATTGTGTTCTAACAAAGGCAAATTATCTAGAAGGAGCAGTTTATCTTTCAGCATTTGTCACATTAAAATTATCAGCTGAGTTTTTTGCATTCAGGAAAAAAGGACTTTTAATATATTTTGGCTCAAGTGCTTTGTTCTACTAAAACACTTGAGCAGTTTTTTTATGAGCTGGATTTAAAAAAAAAAAAAAAAAAAAGAGGGTGAAAATTGATGTTGTATTTCCTGCAACCAAAGCTTCTAAAATTCAATTGCTAGCCATAATGGTAATGATTGCACATTCTGTGTAATTTTGTTGGTTTGAGGTACATCTCAGGAGAAAGGAGGAAGCAGCATAAAGGAATTATCAGATCAGAGGTATCAGAGCATTGTTTAAACTAGCCTTAGAAAGACTTCAATGCATCACTTCACCCAACACCTTTACCCAAAGACAGGATGAGCTTTGCCTGACAGGTGTCTGCTTGAAAGATTCACAGTAATGGAAACTAAAGCACCTCTTTCAGAGGAGAGAGGATGGGGATAGCTCTGAATACATGTGGTGGAAAGCAATCAGCCCAGGGAGTTTTAAGAGGGAGTGTCAAGTGGAATAGAAGATTTACATGTGCAGAAGGTTGTCAACAGGTTGCACAAGGCACTGCCTTTTTTCCTCTCATTGTTTGAGACCCAGCCCACGCACCCATGGCTGCCTAGGGCTCCCTGTGTTTTCAGCTCAAGGGCATTTTATCTGCAAATGTGCTGCTGGGCCAAAAAGTTGTCAGCAGCCTGGTGGCTTCTTCTCTGCTGCACAGCCTGCAGGTCTTTTGACCCAGAAGCCACAAAACCAGAGTCTTCAGATCTTGGAATGAGTAATCAGTGGCTTTTGTGGTGTGAATACACAGTCAATATATGGCTCAACATAATTCTACTCTCATCTGAGATGTATGCCTCAATTAAATCAAAAGTAGGGTGGGGATAGTGTCATTTGACACCACCCATCTCAAAAGCAAAACATTCAAGCTCCTTTTGTAGGTGCTCATGGTATAGGTGGAGGAATTGTCCCATTTCCTTAGCACACATATCCTGAGATATGAGCTAGGGAAAGAGATGACTTGGCCTCCTGAAGGTCCTTCCTCTCCCCATGCAGACAGCCCACAAAGGACCAGACTGAGCACCCAGGCTTTACATTTAGGCAGAATAAATCCTAAGTTTACTAGAGAAATATCAGCATGTGAATAGTAAAAATTATTTTTGCTAGACACTCACTCGCTGGAAAGAAAATAAACTAACAGTTGAAGACATAACATGCCTCAGTTTCATTAAAGATATTAAGGATTACCAGCTCAGTGCCCCCAGGTGATGCAATATGTGGTTCATACATGCAGAGTAGTCACAATCAGCTGGGAGATAAAAAAATAATTGATTCCACCCTTCAAATGACTTCTCTTCAGGAAAGAGTGGATCTCAAGGACCTCTTTTCTCAGGACCTCCAGATCTCTATGCCAGTACTCAGAGTCACAGATTCACTCTATTTTTTTTGCTCATCATGTAGGAACACCCAGAGAAACAAAGAAATGTTCAGATTGCTTTGTGAAGTTATTATTTTTAATTAAGAAACAAAATAATTTCAAATCAAAAGATTATTTTCTAGGACCTATAGACAGTAGCAGACTCTTTAATGTGCCAGAGCAAAGGTGGACAAAGATTAAATGTCTGTGAACTAGATAGAGGAACATGCAAACAAAGAATAAGGTTAAATGAATGTAATT